TTGTCAACTAAGTCAAATAATAATTTGTAGATCAATTTTGATGATCTTTTAATAATGTTAATTTTGCAGTTAACAGCGGTGATGATGATGATGATGGTGATGGTAATAACGGTAATGGAAAAGATAATATAAAAAAGATTCATGTTATTTCTTGTGCAAGTGCTGAAGTTATAAATCTAGATATCCTTCAAATTTTTAATATCTCTGCTATTATTTGGGCAAAAACCGCTCCTTATGAAGAGGATGCCAGAATTCTAAATTATGAAATTGATGTAAATGGTTGTGATGTAGGAGAAATGCTTAGTCGTAAATTAAAAAATTCAGGTATTGGTTATTTTCTTGATTCTATCGTAGTTAATATTTCTCCGATGCCTGTAAAACAAGAACCACATTTTCACTACAAATACTCACAACCAAGACAATCAAATCGAGAAATTGAATATTCAAAGTCAAATGAAAAAAATATTAATTTACAATTTGGAGGTTCAAACAGTGGTGTCTCAGGTGTTATAACAGGTGGTATAAATACGGTTCATAATACTAAATTCTCATCAAAAGAATGGAAATTATCTTACAAAGGTCCTAATAATAACGGGGAACGTTGGTTATATCAATTCTTTGATGATAGTCTAGATAAATATGGCAGCAGTAGAGAATGTTTTGCTCCTGGAACCCATTCTGGTCAGTGGCTTACTAAGAAAGAGGTGCAAGGATTTTGCATTACTATCACTCAAGTATTACGCTGTGAGGTTGCTCATGATTTGCGAAGCAGATTTCGTCAACATATAAAAACAAATTTATTGAAACATTGCCCAAAGATGTCCCATAGTCTTAAAGTAACCTTTAAAGATCTTAAAAATTTCAATGCAAAATTTACACAACTCAACAGAACTTTATATACTAATAATGGCAAGATTAACATTAATGTTGGAAGCAAAGGCAATGAAGAAAAATATACTGAAAACCAAGAAATTCAGAATTTAAATGGAGAAATCGAGCACTCTATTGTACGATCAGCAGTCTAATTATATATTTTCTCTATTCAGCTCGTGAGAAAAATTTTTGTTACTTTATTTATTATTTATATGATAATAGAAAATTGTTCGACACTGATTATAGAGTATTTGTAATTTTTAAGTTTGTAATTGAACAACTTCAACATATCAAGCAATAAATAAAGTATTTAATTTTAAAGTTTCTTCACGAATCACGGTCGTTGTTATATAAATTAATTTGCAATAATTATTTTTTTTTGCAAGTAATAAAATCTAATTTTTCAAATGCCTATAACTCATAAAAAATTTTTTTTTAGATTTCCTCCCTTTATATTGACAAAATAAATGAATATACTGAAAAGAAATTAACAATAATTTTCAGTAATTACAGTAATTTTTTAATATACAGAATTTATCAAATATATAAATAAATATATAATTTAGTGTTTAGTGTTAGCTCTATCAATTTCATAGCCTTGTTTCCGTGTATAACTATACTATAAATTGAAATTTGTATAAATTTAATATAAAAGAATCATAAGCGAAGTTTTCAGATGCTTCGCCTTACAAACCATGAAGATTATGTTAAACATACATTTTTATTTAATTAAAAAAAAATCTATTAAGTCAATAGACAATAATATTATTGATATTGAAATGAATATAAAATGAGGAGGCTAACAAAGTTGAGTTGATAAACCTTTTTAAAGTTCATTTGTCTGCGTCATGATCAATTATTACATCATCCCACTTCCACAAAGAATTTTTATCATTCAAATTTTCATCTACATATAAACCCTTAATCTCTGTAATCTTTTCTTCATATTTATGATATAATGTATGAGTTTTCGTCTCACTTAATTTTTTCCAAGTTTCATAACTTGATGAATGACCTATGTAACAAATATATTTTGGATCCGGGGTCAAGGGTAAGAAATGCACATCATCCAATGCTTCGTAATCCGAAATATTTTCAGCCCTAAATCTTAATAACGCATTGCTTGCTTGAACATGCGCGTCAGAATAAATCCCGCTAAAGTTAAAAAGTGTTTGTTAATTAATTAATTTTTTTTTTTAACGAAGTTTTATGAATTTTACAATTTTTTTTTTTTTTCACTTACCCCATAAACGCGATGAACATGTTTTGTAAAACCGTTACTACAAAAATGCTAGCGAGTAACGTTAACGCTTCTACCGCCCAAAAATCCCAAGTATCCCTTTGTACATAGGATCCGCCAATCCAAAAATAAGATGAAATTAACGAATCAATAATATTTGAATTTGGATTGTCCAACCTATCACTTGGATCAATTGCACCCGTTACGGTAATATCTATGGGCTCCTTCGTTGTAGAATTTGTCACAGAGAATTCGTTAATTTTCGGTGCGACGTTAGTAAAAGTTGGATGTTGTAATAAAATAAACCTTAATCGAAATTAAACAAAAATGCATTAATGTTTCTCTAAAAAAAAAAGAAAATGATGAAATCATTGGAAAAGAAAAATTACATTGAATGAGCGAAGGCCGCAAGCACTAAGAAAATAAACAAAAGAAAAAGATATGATTCCTTTATTATATTTAAAATGATGTAAATATATTTCGCGGTTTCTAAATAAAAAAAATTAATAAATTTTTTTTTTTTTTAATAAAATTATAAATGCTTTAAAATAAATACCTGATAACAAACGAAGATATAAAATCTAGAATTCGAAAATCAAAGATAAAATTAATAAATATGGTTAATGAACAAACATCACTGATGCATTAACAACGCTTACGAATTCAAACCAGAGTATTAACATGGTAAAGGAAATGTAGATGGATATTTCTTTGGTGGTAACAACGT